CTAAACTACCAGGGGACTGTCCCAAGTCAGGGTTAGTGCAGAATATAGGAAAGAAAAGAGGGGCAGTAGAAAGAAAGCAAATAACTTCAAATATAGATCACTAGTGTTAAGCACTTTTCTCTTTTACCATCTTATTCTTTGTAAAGATGGGATGAGGGGCAAAGAGAAGAAAAGTAGAGACAAAGATGAAAAGAAATACCAAATTAACAATCAAAACTGTGAATATGAATGGGATGAATTCACTCATAAAACAGAAGAGAATAGCAGAATGGATTAGAAAACAGAATCTAACAATATATAGTTTGCAAGAAAAACACTTGAAACAAAGATCCATACGGTATTAAAGGGCTAAAATTTATGTTTTGAGTTATACAAAAAAAAAGAAAAGAAAAAATTTCAGAAAAGATAATAGTAAGTATACATGATTAAAAGAAGTAAACAGGGACATCGCATGATTCTTTTTTGTTATTTTTTTTTAATTTTTAAATTATTTTTAAAGCACAGAGACTTTTATTCTTTTTTTTACTTGAAAATTCTCTCTCCTATGTACTCCCCTACTCATTGATAAGGCAAGAAAAACAAAACCTATTACATTTATGTATTACAGATTTGTATTACAGATATGTATAGTCATGCAAAATAAATTTCCCTCTTAGTCATGACTTTTTTAAAGCAAGAAAAATAAAAAAATATACATATACTTCAATTTGTGCTCTGAGTCCATCAGTTCTATCTCTGATGGTGGATAGCATGTCTCATCATGAGTTCTTTGGAACTGTGGTATGTTATTATGTTGATGCATTACTAAGTTTTTCAAAGTTGATTGTCCTTACAATATTGCTATTACTGTATAGATTGTTATGTTCACTTCATTTTGCATTAGTTCATAGAGGTCTTCCTAGGTTTTTTTCTGAAAATGTCTCTTTCATCATTTCTTATAGCATGATAATATTCCATTACATTTATATACCATAACTTATTCAGCCATTCCCCAAATAAGGGCATACTCTCAGCTTCCAATTCTTTGTCACCTTGAAAAAAGAGCTACTATAAATATTTTGTATACATGGGTCCTTTTTCTTTTTCTTTGATCTCTTTGGAATACAGATCTAGTAGTGGTATTACTAGGTCAAATGGTATGCACAGTTTAATAGTTTTTTGGGCATAATTCCAAATTTCTTTCTAGAATGATTAGACTAGTTCATGGCTCCATCAACTAGACACTAGTATATGTATTTTCCCATATTCCCTCTAACATTTATCATTTTCCTTTTTTTGTCATCCTAGCCAAATGATGGGTGTGAAGTGGTACCTCAGAGTTGTTTTATGTACGTTTCTCTAATTATTAGTGATTTAGAGTATTTCTTCATATGGCTATTGATAATTTTGATTTCTCCCTCAGAAAACTGTCTATTCATATCCTTTGAATATTTGTCAATTGGAGAATTATATTCTTATTCTTGTAGATTTGACTTTATTCCCTATATGTTTTAAAAATGAGACTTTTATCAGAAAAAATTGCTGCAAAGATTTTCTCCAATTTCCTGATTTTCTTCTAATTTTGTTGCATTGGTTTTGTTTGTGCAAGACTTTTTTAATCTCATATAATTTAAATAATCCGTTTTACGTCCTGTGAACATCTCTCTCTCTTTCTCTCTCTTGCTCTCTCACTCTCTCGCTCTCTCTTCTTCTCTCCCTTATTCTTTCTCTCTCTCTCCCTCTCTCTCCTCCTCCCCTTCACTCTCTCCCTCTCTCCTTTCTGTTTCATTTGCTCATAAACTCTTCCCTTATCCAATTGTTTGACAGATAATTTCTTTCCTAGTCAATTATTTTGCTTATATTGTTCTTTATGTCTAAATCATGCACCCATTTTGAGCTTATCTTGCAATACAATGTGAAATCTGGGTCTATCCCTAGTTTATGCCAGATGACTTTCCTGTTTTCCCAACAGTTTTTGTCATATAGTGAGTTCTTGTCCCAATAGCTGGAACCTTTGGGTTTGTCAAATACTAGATAACTGTGTTCATTTGCTTCTATATACTATGTACCTATTCTGTTCCACTGATCAACCTCTTTGATTCTTAGCCAGTACCAAATTGTTTTAACAATTATAGCTTCATAGATCTGGTATTTTGTTTGAGATATTGCTAGGTCCCCTTTCTTTCCATTTCTAAAAATTGTTTCATTTAATATTGTTGGCTTTTGTCCTTCCAAATGAATTTTTAATTATTTTTCTAGCTCTCTAAAGTAATTTCTTGGTAGTTTGATGGCACTGAATAAATAAATTAATTTAGGTGGTATTGTCATTTTTATTATGTTGTCTCAGCCTACCAATGAGCAATTAAGAGCAAAGGAAGAAAGGAAAGATGGAAGAAAAAGAGGAAATTAGCATTTATTGAGCACCTACTATATACCAGGGACTATGCTAAGTACTTTACAAATATCTCACTTGAATCTCACAGCAACCCTGGGAGGTAGGTGCTATTATTATTTCTATTTTATAGCTAAGGATACTGAGGCAGATAGAGGGTAAGCAACTTGTTCTTTTTTTTTTTAACCCATATTACTCATTTGATTTCATTGGAGATTAGGAAGCTCAAGCCCAAAAACTGAATTTTCTTGTTCAAAATCAAAGACAGATAATGCCAAGGCCAATGCTAGTACTCATGCTTTCTGAGTCCAAGTACATGTCTTTTTCACTGTAGAATACTGTCCAAGGCTTATTGTACTATTACTAGAAAGTAACTCAATGAACTGTTAGGACAAATATCTATATACATTAAGTAAGGAAAAACTAATCCCTCTGCAGTTAGGTGGTATAGTGGATAGAGTACTGGGCCTTGAGTCAGGAAGTCCTGAGTTCAAATCTGGCCTCACACACTTCTTCACTGTGTGACCCTGGCAAGTCACTTCACCTCTGCCTGCCTCAGTTTCTTCAACAGTAAAGGGGGGGATAATAATATCTCTATCTCTTAGGGTTGTTGTGAGAATCAAATGAGATATTTGTTAAGTGCTTAGCACAGTGCTTGGTATATAGTAGGTGCTTAATAATTTTTTTTCTTTTCCTCTTCCTTCCTTCCTTCCTTCCTTCCTATCTATGAAATAGTAGAATAGAAGAGCATGAAGGTACCTTAGAGAATATCTAATCCAACCCTTCTTGAAATGAGCTTCTACATGAGCAAATGAGCAAACACTGAAACATACTATAGTAGGGACGATTTCACAGTTTAAGGCTAACTCTAGCAGTCTGGACACCCAATGTTTGAATGTAAGTTTTTCAAATATAGAGAGGCTGCCAAGATATCTTCACATTTCCTTAATTTTCTCCAACAGAGTTCTAAGGAAACATAGGAAAATTACCTAGATCTCAGAGACCACAGCCCACCTTGGGGTGGTGTTCTACATCCATTTGCAATAACACTGCCCTGAATTATATTCTCCTCACTTCTGCCTGGGATGTCCTCCAAGATCGGGCTTCTATTAAAAACTGTGGATCATAATTTTTTTTTTGCTCATATATTTTTATGGATCTCCAGCTGTGTACAAAAGGACTGTCTTGTCTTATTTAATGTAGATACCCAAGAGGCCAAAACATAAGGAGACAATCATTGAGAACCATTGCCAGGTTTCTGCTAGAATTTAGGTTCCTATCTAATGAGCAATTTATTAATTTATCGAATCCTTGATATTGGCAGCTAGTCAACAAGTATTTATTAAACTCCAGGCACTGGGCTAAGTGCTGGACATTAGACAGAAATTTTGCAAATCTTTGCTTGGATTTGCAGCTATAGATCAATTCTAGTATGAGAATTATTAATATAGGCATATATGGGTTGCTATTGTTGTTGATGTTGTTTTGACCAGACATGTGATTTCTTTAATGTAGCAAGCTCTATCTAACAATACAGATCAGTACCTGCTCTGCAACTCAGAGTTTCAGAGAGCTGCTGGAACACTAAGTGAAGGGACAACCGGTGTCATATAGAAGTATGAATCCTGGTCTTCTTGAGTCTGAAGCTAGCTTTCTATCCTCTAGTATATTAATCCATATTACATATGAATACAATATGTATGTACACATATGTACATGCACACAGACACAAATATGTGTGTACATGTGCACATACATGTGCATAATACATATTATACAATAAAAATGTGTGGGCCTATATATTTACATGCACACAAACATACATCCACCTACATGTTTATACTGATTGTACATATGTATCTGCATGCACAATAACATATCTTTATATAATATAAAAAATTTGTAGAATTATTAGTACAATGAGATCCATAAAGTAGGCAAGAATTTGGTAACTATTATTTTGGTCTAGACAATCCATGAAATGGATATATGTTATACAATGCATATATATATATATAAGGTGTATAAACATGCATCTACATACATACACACATTTATATCATTACATTCATGTACTGTGTATTGTTATATACATAGGTATATGCATATGTGCTGATACATATACTCATGTGTGTATATGTTACTGGAATATAAACTATAACTTTGTAGGAAAGCTTCCTAGATAATGATTCCTGGAAAAAAAAAAGTTTGTCCTCTCAGTTCACACCTTGCACTACAGGTATTCTATCTTAAGGGTTTTCGGTAAAGGTTTTAAAGGTTTTCTTTGGCAAAGCTCCTGGAAGTAAAATGTGCTTTGGGCATTAATCTAATCTGACAACATTGGGGAGGCAATTCTGATAAAAGGTGATTCAGCAACAGCATAATATGTCATATCCCTCTGCTTGTGACAAAGTAAAGCTGTTTGAGGTACAGAACCAGAAGATTAAGAGGAAATGTTATCGTAGGAGCAGGTATGGCATTTCCTCTGCTTGTGTACATGCAAAGTAGATGTGCTCACAGTTAATATTTTACTTTATTTTCATTTATTTACTGAAAACATTCATAGTTATAGGTTCATTGATTACACATAATAATTTGGAGTTTATAGATGAAACAGGAAAGGATCATAATGCATTCAGGTGAGGTAATAGGGAAAAATTTTGGACATTAATTTAAATGATTTTATTTATTTAAATGTACTATCATTTTATAGGAGAATTGAGAATTTCATGATCATCAAGAACGCAGATACTCCATGTTTCTAAGAGAAGAATCGTGAGTAGCAGCTCTGAGTCCCAGTCAGCAGCTACACAGTTCTGCTTTGAAAATGTAAATGGGTCCTGTATTAAAAATCCCTATTCCCAAGGACCCCGCGTGATTCTCTATGTGGTGTTTGGCTCTGGGGCTGTGCTTGCAGTGTTTGGAAACCTCCTGGTAATGATTTCTATCTTTCATTTCAAGCAGTTGCACTCTCCTGCCAGTTTTCTCATTGCCTCCTTGGCTTGTGCTGACTTTTTGGTGGGAGCCACTGTGATGCCCTTCAGCATGGTGAGATCGGTGTAGAGTTGCTGGTATTTTGGGGAGACTTTCTGTACATTTCATAGCTGTGGCGACACAGCATTTTGTTATGCTTCCCTCTTTCATTTGTGCTTCATCTCCATTGATAGATATATTGCTGTCTCTGACCCTCTGGTCTATCCAACCAAGGTCACAATGAATGTTTCTGGGCTGTGCATTGCTCTCTCATGGATGATCCCAATTACTTACAGTGGTTCTGTTTTCTACACAGGTGCCAATGATGATGGATTGGAGGAATTAATAAGTGCCCTCACCTGTGTAGGGAGTTGTCAGGTTTATGTGAATCAAAGTTGGGTGCTGGTAGATTTTTTGTTGTTCTTCATCCCCACCCTGGTTGTGGTCATTCTTTACTCTAAGATTTTTCTTGTAGCTAAACTCCAAGCTAGAAAGATTGAAAACACAAGTTGCAAAGGAGAATCTTCATCCTCAGAGAGTTACAAAGCCAGAGTGTCCAAGAGGGAAAGAAAAGCAGCAAAAACATTAGGCATTGCGGTGATTGCATTTCTGATTTCATGGTTACCCTATTCTATTGATGCATTGATTGATGCATTCGTAGGCTTCATCACCCCTGCCTATGTTTATGAAATCCTTTGTTGGTTTGCTTATTATAACTCTGCCATGAACCCCTTGATTTATGCTTTCTTTTACCCATGGTTTAGGAAAGCAATAAAACTTATTGTAACTGGGAAAATCTTACAGGATAGCTCTTCAACCATGAATTTATTCTCTGAGCAAGGCAAAGGATTAGAATAAGGAATTTTATAATATATTCTTAAGTATTCCTGACTTCTGAATGTATGGACAATTGCTGCATAATTATAGATAGAAACATATAAGAAAAAAATCATCTCCCAAAAGAGGAAAAAAGAAATCATTTAAAATTAGACAGGCCAAGTCATAAGGCTTCTCAAATTGTTTGAATGTGTGGATTTCCTGATCACTGCTGAAAAAACTTTCCTTGACCTAAATTATGCAGGATTAACTAAGGGTCTCATATTCTTTACAATGATTTATCTTGAGGATTCCTCATTTTCTTCCTCCAGTCTACTCACCTTTTGTTTTACATGGTCTGTCCAGTCAAGCTGGACTACTTGTTGTTTCACTTATACAAAAATCCCCCTCCTGCCTTTTGTGCTTTTGCATGGACTTCCCCTATGCCTTTAATGGTTTCCCTCCTTAGCTCTGTATCTTGAAATCCCACACTACGTTCTCACTGCATCTCCCATTTGTTAGTGCCAGTCCATCCCCCTCATTTTTATCTCATATATATATGCATTATATACATATATGTATTATATAAATATATAATCATGTGTGTATATGTACACATATACATATGTCTTCTATTTATTCATCTTTGAACATTGTATATCCTACTATTACCACTACCACCACCACCTCTCCCTAGAATAGGACAACTTAAGGATGGGGATTTTCTTGATTTCGTACTTATAATCTCAGTACCTAATATACCTGAAGCATTGATGACCCCCATTGATTGACTGATTCTTTTTCTGGTGTGAAACCCTAAGCCATTTTCCCTTCTGTCCACCTCAGCACCCTTCATTTTCTTCTAAGTTTTCCTCCTTCTCTTCTGTTATTTGTGAAATATCATAGCACTGTCTACTCTTCCTCAGACTCAGTCTTTTAGGGTCTAGTTTTCACTTTCCTGTGTCCTTGCTCTGTGTCAGTTTCTGCCTAAACACCTGGACAACTGTCCCACCAGACTTTCAGCCTTCATATCAACCACTCGCAGATCCACAGCAACCCGTCTATTAGTCACATCAGCCTATTTTCTGCCATCCTTCTTATGTGATCTGTTCAGCATGTTTTTTCAGAATAAAATGATTCAATATTTGTCTTCAGTGCAAGTAATAACAGCTATTTGGGTCAGATGGTCAAAGTAAAAAATATAATTTTGGGACAGAGATCAGGATTGATGTCTATTGGACATTTTGAAAATACTTTATTTGTTTTGTCATTTCAGTCACTCAATAGGTAAATGTTTTTTCACCTACCAGCATTAAAGTGTAGATTATAAATCACATGGCATATTTGTTATTGATGAGTCCTTAATACCTTTCACTAGCTCATGTAGTCAAAATTTCCTTTCAATGTTTTTCTAGAGTCTCCTCTTTTCATATAATAAAAATAATTTGCAACTGCATTCTGAGATTTTTTTTCAGTTACCTTTCAAAGTCAGTGTTTAACTTACTTTATCATTTTTATTGTTTTACAATAGAAATTATAAATCATTCAAGAAGTCCAGATGACAAATACTAGGTATTCCTGGGTTAGGCAGCAGACTTAATGGAGGATACAAATAATTATAAATCATTGTCTCTGTTCTCAGCAAATGTATAATCTAGGTGGCAATAAAAAAGAAGAAACATGGCAGTGGAAAGTGGGCTAAACGTGAAGTCAGCAGATATAAGTGTGAATCCTGACTCTGTCACTTGCTATCTTTGTCACCTTGAACATATGACTTAACCTTTTCTGGACCTCATTTACTCCATCTATAAAATGTGAGAATTGAGCTGGGTGACATCTAAGGTCGCTTTCAACTCTAAATCTATGATCCTGTGAAAAATTTACTAGAGAAATTGTTATATGACTGGCACACAAGATAGGCATTCAAAGCCCTCCACAATCTGGACCTTATCTATGTCTCTATTTTCTACTACTCCTCTAAATAAACCTTCTCTACCATTAAACTGAACTCCTAATATGTTCCTGAAACATCACATGCATTTCTATATCTGTAGGTTTATTCACATCTTTCCTTTTGTTTAGGGTGGTCTTTCCCTCCCCTTATACATCTAATCTCATCTTTCATTTCAGGTTCAGCTGAAATCCACTTGATACTTTCCCCAACCTCCTTTGGTGATCAATCATCCTGATTCTTATAGCCCTCATGGTCTGAATAAAACACAGTATTAAACAATTTAGAGACATAACAATGGAAAGTAACTTGTCCAAGGTGATATGGATAAAAATGACAGACCAAGAATTGAACCCAGGTTTTCTAATGCCAAAGCTATTATTTATTTCACTCTATTATGCTGCCTGCCTTGAAATCATAGAGTCATGGTGTTGCCCTTACCTATTCAAGGATTCTTTCCACAAGATCCTATAAAAGCAGTCATTTACCCTCTGCTAAAATGTCTCCTGTGGCCAGGGATTCTGCCTCTGGAGGTAGTCTAGTCCACTTTTGAATGATTCTAATAGTGAGAAAGTCCTGTCTTATCCACTAATAGCAAGCGTTTATATACTTCTTTAAAGTTTGCAAAGCACTTTATAAATATTATCTCATTTTATCCTCCCAACAACCCCAGAAGGTAATTGCTATTATTGTCCTCATTTTATAGATAAGGAAACTGAGGCAGATAGAGGTTAAGTGACTTATCCAGGGTTACCTAGATATTAAGTGTCTCAGGTCTTCCTAACTCCACATCTAGTTTTCTATCCATTGCACCACCTAGTCTTATCCTAGTTTTGAATCAAAATGTGTCTCCTAATTTTTACCCATTTGTTCTAGTATTTGATTCTGGATCCAAGCAGAAAAAATCTAATCCCTTTTCCATACAGCAGCCCTTTTGTTACAGAACATTTCCCCCCAAGAATACAGTGTGTATATCTTACTTTTAATAAAACTGTATTTTTAAGAGCAAAATAAAATAATAGCTATTATTCATATAGTATTTTAAGGTTTGTAAAGCAGTTTGTATACATTAGCTCCTTTGATCCTTGCAACTACCCTGAGAAGCAAGTGTCATTATTATCCCCATTATACAGATGAGGAAACTATGAGAAGAGAGGTTAAATGACTTGCCCAGGGGTAACACAGCTAGTAAGTATCAGAAGCAGGATTTGAACTCAGATTTTCCTGACTCTCCCACTGCGCCACCTAGTGGCCTTTAACTACATTCAGCTTCAATACCAGGTGTTGAGCTATCAGTTATACAGAATGGAATCCTTGATTGCCAATAAAACTGACTCAAGGACATGCCTCACCTGTCGTCCAGAAAGCATTGTTTAAATCCCCTATTCATTCTGATGTGGTTTGTCACTCACCACTTTAGCCACATGCTGAATATAGACAAGTTATAAGTTCATGTGTAAAAGATTCAGTCTGGCTAGGCCATCATTATGAAGTCTTCTGCACACCATAATACAAATTGCTGTTTGTATAAAAATAACTGCTTTGACAGCAAGGAGTCAGTTTTTTGTCACTTATTTGTTTTTTTGCACAGGGACTTTACAGGAGTAAAGAGGAAACAAGCAAAATTCTCCTTGGCATCTCTTTTACTTGATTCCTTAATTCTAATTTCTCATAACATTTTGGGAGAAGTCCACACATTTGCCATGATCAAATCCAGAACTTGATAACCTTAATCCTCCTCCTTCAGTATATCTAATCTCCCTTCCAGGTTGGTCCATTTGATTTCCCTCACATAAGCTATGTCCTTTCCTGGTTTTGTGTCCAAACTGATATTGTTCTGTTCTGCTGAACCCCACTTCCACCACCTGGTAACCTATATAAATTCTACCCATTCTTTAAGGCCCAATTCAATTGTTCTCTCTTCCATGAAGCCTTTTCTGACAAAGCATGTACTTATCTTTCTTTTTTCTGAATTCCTAATATGCATCTAGAAATTATCAAATAATGTAACATATTTTTTTCTCTAATTGGTTATTTGTGTCTCCCACTAAACCATAGTCTCCTGCCGGGTGGAACCTTGTTTAACCCCTCTCTGGGGGACACTACCTTGCACAGCATATTACAGCCTACATAGCAGATCCACATTACTACATTCTGACAGAGTCTTAGCAGCACTGTATTTTTTTAATCATTGCACTTCAAGCCAAAAGAGTTCAGGTCCAGTTCTAGATTTACTATATTCTAGCTGTGTTATTTTAGGTAAATATAAGACTGCTTTGAATCTTTTTCCTAAGTAAAAGGATTATCATACTCAAAATTCTGTAGGTATATCAGAGGTTTCCTGTGGTGATCAAATTAATTAATAATGTATGTTACCCTATTAAGCACCTATTAAGTGCTAAACATCATGCTAAGTGCTGGAGATACAAAGAAAGGCAAAAAAGATTCCCTGCTCTCAAGGAACTCAGAGTCTAATGGGGAGAGAGAGGGGGAGGAAGAGAGAGGAAGAGAGAGAGAGAGAGAGAGAGAGAGAGAGAGAGAGAGAGAGAGACAGAGACAGAGAGACAGAGAGACAGAGAGACAGAGAGACAGAGAGAGAGAGAGGGAGAACATGCAAAGAACTACATATAAACCAAGCTATATATAGGAAAAACATGAAGATAATAAAGAGAAGGTGCTAGCATTACAGGGGATTAGGAATGGTTTCTTGAGAAGATAAGATCTTAGCTGCTCTGTAAATGTACTAGTACTAGTACTAGTCTACTCAATTATTTGCTAAAGATAAGATTGATTTGTCTTTCCAAAAATAAAAAAGGAAAAAAAAATCTTAAAGAGATAGGTTTGCAAGCAAAATGCCTTGTGAAGAAGCCCTGTTTTTATTTTGCCTTTAATTTCTTAGACAGAAGATTTTTTTAAACAATACCAGTCATTAAAAATCAACAGCAACAAAAAACTCTTAACCATATACACCATTCTGCTCTCCCTTGGTGGGGAATTCTTTCAACCTCTTGGGAGAAGTACATTCATCAGCAGGAGGGTCAATGGCTGTGGGTCAAAGAGAGGGGACCAAGCTGAAAGTAAAGAGGTATAT